TTCTGTCTCATCCTCGTGCTGTTTGGAGCAGTGCTGCTAGCCAGGACAGTGTTCCTCCCTGAGCACTGCTGTTTTCTTAATCCTGATCTGTCATCTGTTGCTTTGAACAGATATTAATGCTGCTGCTGCTGCAGTTAGCTGTGCTTGGCTAAAACACCCTTGTTGTAACCAGGGATCTCTAACACAGGGGGCCTGACTGGGACACTGAGATCCATGGCCAACCTGGTGCTACAATCAAGGACCTCCTTACTGAGCTGTACATCAAAGTAGGGACTACTCGACAGTGGGCCTTGATCCGTTACATCTCGGGAATCCTGAAGAAGAAGGTGGAAGCTCTTGATGAGGTAATGGTTCATCTGCCAGTCTGCTTCCAGCTTCAAGCTTATGGGGGTAGCAGATGGGATGGTAGTGATTTACTTCCTAAATCTCTGTCAGAAAACTTTGCTGACGAAGGGCCTTTCTTGGATCTGAGGCTTCTGAATCCAGGGTCATCCTTACTGTTTCACAGAGAGAGTGAAAATCTCATAGCTTCGGAAAATGCCCTGACTGTGCTTATGTTGGACTGCCTGGCCTACATACTTGCAGTTCCTACTGACTGGCTGGAGCTGTCAGCACTGCGGATTTCAAGAAGAGACTTTTAGGGGTGAGGGAAGTAGGATGATCCCTGAAGAAAGGGGGAACTTTAAAATGAGTCTTGTGTCCATGCTCTGTGTGGAAGGTGTAAATGAGGCTGTTGGCTGGGCAGAGGGGTACTTCCTTAGACAGTAGATAGGTCTGCCTGTTGGTTACCCATAACCATATGTAGGATGGTTCCTCTGTTTTTAGGCCTGCACTGACCTCCTGTCTCATCAGAAGCACTTGACAGTGGGACTTCCTCCAGAACCTCGTGAGAAGACGATCTCTGCGTGAGTTCAGTGGCTTTTTCTGAGTTGTACCATGGGGAATGATAACATCTTATTAGTCAGCATGATCCAGGGGCCAGCACAAAATGGACAGAAATAAGTGGCGAGTACTCTTTTCCAAGCTTCACCTTGAATGCTTTGCTGCTGCCTTCTCAAAGGAAAGAGGCCCAGGGAGGTCTAGTCCCAAGCTAGCCAGTATGTGAGCTCCTGCTCTTCCATACACCAGTGAACTCCATGTGTCCTTCTGAGAACCTCATTAGCCATTAGTCGAGTCATGTCAGAGCAGACAGGGCACTCCCTGTGATCTGGAGAAGGGGTCATCCATCCAGTGATGGATCCATCTAGATCATGCTGGGTCTCACCTGTACTTCTGTTGCCTCCTCAGTCCGCTTCCGTATGAGGAGCTTGTTCAACTGATTGATGAAGCTAGTGAGAAAAACCTGAGCATCTCTATTCTGACCCAGGTGAGAGGACAGGCCCCAGGTGGTAATCAGCCTCCAGCAGGCTGGAGAGTCTTTCTTTCCCACATGCTCTGAGGTTATAGCCTCTCCTGTTGTGCAGCTGTCTGGTGACCTAACATCTCCTGGCTCTTACCCTCAGGAAATCATGGTATATCTGGCCATGTACATCCGCACACAGCCTTCCCTTTTCTCTGAGATGTTCCGCCTGCGCATTGGGCTTATCATCCAAGTGATGGTGACAGAGCTGGCGCATTCTCTGCACTGCTCAGGTATGTGTGCTGAGCCCAGCAATCTCCTCTAAAGCTCCTGACGCATGTTGCACTTAAGTCATGATTTACTGGTTAAGCAGTGACCTGGGCACACATTCATTCAGTTAATGGTGTGAGAAAGCCAGGAATAAGTGACAAAATTATTACAGAGGCAGACAAGGTTCTTCAGGTAAATCTGGTATCTCTTATTAGACCAACTCAAATTGTTGGAAAAATTCTTCTTTGCAAGTTTTCAGGTATAAATACCCTTCATCAGGCTGAGGAAGCATCTGTAGTTGGGGGGACTGAATAATAAAGTTCTTTACTATTCATTCTATCCAGGAAGAGCCCATACCAACTACAGATGCTTCCTTAGCCTGATGAAGGGTATTTATACCCGAAAGTTTGCAAAGAATTTTTCCAACAATCTGGTTTGGTCTAAAAAAATATTGGACTTACCCAAAGAACCATGTCTGCCTATGTCCTTAGACCAACATGGCTACAACCTATACCCCTGTAACATGAAAGTTATTACATAACATATGCATAATAACTTTTGTACCTGGTTCCTATCCTGCCTTTAACTGATTGTGTAGCCAATGCTCCCAGCCTCCACAGCACATTGCCATATGCTCTAGAGGTCAGGAGCACTGGTCAGCTGATTGGGGCTCCCGATTAGCTGCTAGAGCTCTCAGCTGTGGGAATACATGGTACATCCCCAGGTCTGAAGATGCCGCTGCGCTGGCAACATGACAGCGTGTTATCTGATTATTTGACCACAGGAGTCTTTCCTGCCCTCAGTAGGGGGGCTGGATCTGATGATCTCACGAGGTCCGTTCAAGCCCTAAACTTCTGTGAATCTGTGACATGATGCAATGTGGTGCTCAATTCTACAATCACGCCTCGTTCCATGCACATATGGCATGGCAGGTAATGCAGTTGTTAGGATCGCACATTAGATCCCATTGTGCCTTCTTTTTAACATCAGTCAGTGGCCTAACAGTGTTATCTGGTAGTTCTTAGAGGCCCTAGCCCAGATTAAGGCCTTGTCATAATAGGCATTGTACAAACCAAGCCAGAGAGTTAGCTCCTGCTCCTAGAATTTAGTCTATGTGGGCAAGACAGAAAAGGTTACTGTATCCCTCTTAACATCCAAGCCTGTTAATTGGCAGTAGGAGGTGAACACCTGTACTCTGTTGCTTGTTGCATTATAACTAGGTTAGAATTGTAGCTGGGTTTGTGTCACCTTATCAAAGCCCCAATAAATAGGTTTTATAACAAACTGTCCCTCAGCCTTCAGCTTGACAGACGCTTTGGGTAAGAACAGATAATTCTGTGGGCTCAATTTGCATGAGGAGCACATAACTAGTAGAATTTGAACCTAGTAATGAAAGTCTCTGGGGAAAACTGTAGTAGTTGGTTACGTAAAGATAGAGGCACCTATGCTTGCAGCACCAAAAATATAGACTCCCCTGTTTATCAGCTCAGTCTCTTATTTATTTTTGGGTTTTCTTTAACATTTAAAGAACAGAATTCTCATTATATTACCTTGTCATTCATGCCAGAACCTCTCTAGGAGGCATGGAACATAAGTGACACTAGGGTACGTGCAGTGGACACCCAAAAAAGCTTTGCAGAGGGTTGTCAATGGACAGCTTGGCTATTTTTAATAGGTACAAACTGTGCCTCAATTTGAGAGTCAGTTTAACCACTCTGAGTTTGGGAATTTAATTGTATGTACATATTACAAGTAAATGCTGAAAGTCACGGTAGGGGAGGATGGTGCAAAGGATAGTGGGTTCACGTGGCACTCAGCAGACCTGTGTTTAGTTCCCTGCCAGAGTCCTGTGTGATTTGGGGCAGGCAGGTCACTTATCCTTGCTGTGTCTCAGTTGCCAGCTGTGAGTTCTCAGCTACACAGGGATGTGCATGGGTAAAACCAGTAAAGTCTGGGGTGTTAGGATATCCTATTTATGGGAGGTGGGCCACTGAAGAACTTAAACCAGGGGTTGTTGACCTATGGTCTGTGGGGTGGATCTGGCCTGTGGAGCCATTCTGTTGGGCCTGCAAATCTGGGGGGCTTTTGCTAGGGCTTTGGCAGTGTTCCTCATGGGGGTAGTTGGGTGCAGATTTGGGTTTGGCTGGGCAGCAGGGAAAAACAGTCCCCACAGTGGTACTGAGGGAAGGAGCAGGGACTGCAGCTTTGACTGTGGTGGTGGTAGCAGCGGTACATGCCAGGCTTGAAGCTTCCCAAACTCAGAGCTGAGCTGCTTTAGAGCAGCTTCCTACTCCAAAATGTTGCTGACCCCTGACTTCAGTCTCAAGAGCTGCAGTGATGCATGTTTGGCATCTTGATCAGTTTCAGTGTCTCTCTTCACACTTTTGTGGGGGGGGGCGTTTCTTTCACAGGTGCTGGGGAAAGGGAAATGGAATTAGTGAGCCATGAGGTTGGGCTGAGGGACTCTGAAAGCTTTAGAATCACTTGTGAGCTCCTGGAATTCATGTTTTGTAATTGCCTAGATCTCCGGGTGGAGAGGACCTTGTAGCAACTGAAGTTTTCTTTGGGGACTAAGAACAGGATGAGAGCTTGAATTTTTCATCAGTACGTATGAGGGAGTAAACTGTTATATGACTTTACTTATGCACCTGTTGACAATAAACCTTCTTACTAGAACTTTCTTTAGGAATGCTCCTCCCCATAATCAGTGACATAGATTATAATATGAAAGCTTTCAAGAAGGAGGGGGAAGAGGAGGTCATTTTGCTGGAAGTCACCTAAGTTGTCTCTCTGATCTCTAGCTGGAGAAGCTACCGAGAGCTTAATGAATCTCAGTCCTTCGGATATGAAGAATCTTCTGTGCCACATTCTCTCTGGCAAGGAGTTTGGGGTGGAGAAGAGTGGTGAGTCTTTCTTATAAAAGATCTTTAACATTAATTTGGCTGCCTCTGAAATGTAAACAGAAAACCTCAGAAATGAACGCTGAAACCTGGCCAAAGCATGTTTAGCTGCAGTTCTACTCCTGGCCATTCAAACCTGCCCATCTCTGCTGTTGTAGATGTACATCTTGCTATAAGTAATCCTGTGTTCCTGTAACCTTCCCACACCTTTGCTTTACATATTGAGGCATCTTCCTGTTTAATTCTCCATTGTGGCTCAAACACTCTCCCCATTCATGGGTCAGAAATTCAGCCTGAGCCCAGCTCTGAATTTGCTATCAAAATAACTCTGTGCCTCACGTGGTGATGAAATGGGTTGATGCAGCTGATGCTTGGAACAGGGAGAGCAACAGTAGGTGGCAAAGGAGATTTGTACCATGGCACTAGCTAAGGTGGTTGTTGAGCTGTCTGCAAGGTCTTGCATCCCTACCTACTGGAGATGGTAAGAGAAAACCCTCAGGCAGCATGAGATTCTCTGTAGGCTGCACTGCTGCCCTGAGTCCTTTGAGGCGGTGGTAAGTTCTCTTCCTTCTGCCTCTTCAGTGCGGTCTGTTGATTCAACCCTCTCCCCAGCCATCTCCATCCGTGAGATGGGCGCTGTCGGAGCAACCAAACCGGAGCGAACTGGCATCATCAAGCTGAAAAGTGAGATCAAACAGGTGAGAAAGGCAGGACTGGGCTGGGGTTCTTAGGAGGTGCTGAGGTCCAGGGCTGGCTGATTTCATAGGTATATAATAGCTTTGTTTAAGGTTCAGGAGGTAGCCAGTTGGGGAGCTCTGTAGTAATTTAAAATGATACTGTGAAGAACTGGCCTGTATGTCACTGTCAACCTCTTCTGAGCGGGTAGGTAAGGACCACCTAGATGGGTCAATGTCCCTCTATTGCTAACACTGCTGTGAGTTGTCCTGGCAGGAGTTTGTGCTTTTGAAACAAGAGCTTCAGGGTTCCATCCCCAATCTCTAACAGCAGGTTTCCTGTAGCCAGAGTACAGTGTGGTGAGGAAAGACTCCTTATGCCAGTAGGACCTGGGAAATGTCCATAAAATGGCAGAGGATTTATCTTCTGCTCCACCAGTTCCCAAGAGTTCCTTACTTCTCTCCCCCCACATACTTGCTAGAAGGTTTCTGAGATCATACTTTGGTTCAAACACCTTTGAAATGGCCACTATGTCCCTTGGGGCTGGTGGTAACAGAATCCGTACTGGGTATTATTGCAGGGTACCTTGTCTCTGAGGGAGTCACAAGAGCTGAGGTTGCAAGCTGCTCCTCTGTATCTGAGATTCCAGCTCTTCTGTTTTCTCTGAGCCAATAACAATGTTCCTGGGGCACATGTGACTTCTTGCAGTCTGTTTCCTGTGCCCTGCCCCGCTCAGAGGCCAGGAACACTTGGTACTATAGCTGGGCAGGCCTGCCAGGGCTCCCTTATGTGCAGGCTGCTGCCAGCATGAGGTGCACCCTGGATGCTCTCACAGCAACTTCATTATCAGGGTCATTTAGACAGAGAGCAGCACCAGAATAGTGTTAAATCAGTTGTAGTCACAGGGGGTGCAAATCTCAGCCTTTGTGGCCATCCTGACTTGTGTGAAGGGCTTATTTCAGTCTGATGTGGCTTGTCTGGGAAAAAAGTCAAGTTAAACTGCAGTAAGACTGCCCAGCCAAGGGCTTGCTTTGCTTTAGCTCCTTTCCCGTATAGATGAGCAATTAGGCTTTGGGCTCTGTTGCATGGTATGTGGGAGGGACTGAGTGGATGTTCTTGTGGACATAGGACCTAATCCTGTTTCATATGCTCAGTGTCTGGGTGCCTGTTACCTGTTTTTCCCTTGCTTGAGTCCCTGAAAATCTTTTTTCTTTTTCCTCAGAGGGGGAAGGGTCTGGAAGGAAACAAATGCCTGACATTACATAGGGGACCAACTACTTCGGAGTCTCAAGTCAGGGTGGGGCTCTTAGGCAGCAGGACATAGCACCACCATGTATCTGCAGCTAGTCATATTGCATGTATTTTGATCTTCTTTTTATCTTTCAGCAACTGGATAAACGTAGGCAGTCTCTGACGGGGAGTAAGGTGAAACCACCAATGTTCCCTTCACACGTCAGCTTAATCAATAACTCTGCGCACACGGGCAGCTTCTGAGCATGCATGAGCTAATGGGCTTCTTTAAAATCGAGCTGGTGCACCCAGGAGCTGGCTTTCCCTCGCCAATAAACATGGGGTTCAGTGCCAATGAGAGAGATCTAGTTGGTCCATTCAGGTGAATTGGTCCTAGCAGGCTACCCTTCAGGACTCTGAAGCCCATTTCCAGTCCAGGCTATTCTACCTGGAGCTCTTTTCTGGCAGCAGGCTTGGATAGAAGTGAGTGTCTCTCCTGTCCATATGCCACATGTCTGCACTTCATGGGATACAGTGATGGCCATCTCTAATCTGGCTAATAGCAATGCCATTCTGATGGTCCAATCAATAGCCACATTGTAGACATCTTCTGGCATAGTGGTATTGAGCAGGGATGTAAAGAAGTGTGATTCGTTACTTCACACAGCAGAAGACTTAAATGTGGGTGCAGTTAGATTCTGCTGATACCAGTGTAGTCTGTCACTCAGGGAAGGGGATTAAAAGCTTGGGCTACACTATGAAGTTTTGGTGGAATAGTTGTCAGTAGGAGTGTGACAAGGCGATGTCTGTAGTTGACATGGCTAAGCCAGCAGAATCCTGTCAGTGCAGTTAAACTGGCTGAAGAGGGCTCTGCCTGGCTCCTGTACCTCAGTGAAGTGATGTAGCTATGCTAACAGAAAACTTCAACAGCTAGGTGCCAGGTCTGCAGTAGGTGGCTCTGTTGTTACAGCACTGCCAGTAAGGCAGGCAGCAGCAGCCACCCTATGAAGGAAACAAGTCACTACTCTACCGGTACAGAGTGCAGTGTTGCTGGGGTAGCTTTGCACACCCAAGGAGTGCCACACTGGTATGACATTGACAAACTGCTCCTCCTCTCAATGAGGCCCCAGTTAGGAAACTCACCCAGTCCTCAGGCCTCTATCCCTGTTGTTATTGTGCTATTTCCTTGTGAGGGAGGAGGTGCCAGAAGAACAGACATACCATGTTATGGGGCTATGAAGAACCAATCATGATAACTTCTCCACAGGTCTCTTACCTGCACTTCTTGCTTGTAGCTCTTACCAGGACTCCACGAGGGGAGGGTCTCTGGGCCAGCAAGAACCTGTAGCCTTAGAAATGGGCTTGATCCAAGGTGCAAGAAGAATAGGGGACCTGAGGGAGCAGAACACCATGGGGCATGTGAGTCTTGCCTAGAGGCCAGGAATGATTGACTTGTCATAACACGCTGGGCCACAAACCAGCAATGAAGTTCAGCAGAAGACATCCAGTGCAGGAGGGAAACTTTTTGTACTTGCTTATCTTGAGTTGTACTACTACAGTTGTGATTCTCGACTAGGGTGCCATGGCACAGGGGTGCCTTGGGATCCTTTTAGGGGTGCTATGTGGTGTCACACAATGTTAGCACTGTTAGGAATACAACCGTGGTTCACAGGATAAGCCCAGAGATTTCAAGTAGGAATCCGTAGTGTTAAAAACATTTTGGATCTTTTGTGGTCTTTCTGAGCTCTTTACAACAAGAGAATTGCAATATGATTTTTCCATAATCAAAAAAAGAATGAAAACTAAGAGCTGGTGTTTTCTGAGTGGTGCCTTGAATCTAAAAAGATTGAGAACCACAGTTCCAGAAGCTTGGGAATTGCCAGATAAACCTACCATGCAGTTCAGCTTCTCCCCTTCTGAGCTGCCTAATGGAACTGCAGGCAACAATGCTCCTTCTGTATTCACTTCCTCCGTCTGCTATAATGTGGGAGCATGTTCCCCTGGAAAGAGCTCGCTGTAGCTGCAGTGCTACTGTGCAGTGAACCCTCATGCATTTTCAGTCCCCACAAGAAGGACCTCAGTCTTGCTCTGAAGTGGTTGTTGGCAGTAGTGTAGGCTTCTGTACTTCGTTCTGGGTTCTAGATCCTATAGATTACCCCCTGCTAGGCTGAGCTTTTCTCTGCCTCATTCCATTGTGCCCAGTCTCTGGCTATCATGGCTGCCAAGGAGTGCATCCAGTATTGCACAAGGTAAGTCTGGAAAGAAAACCCAGCCCAAGGCTTAGCACAGTGCAGTCTGTCACCTTATATACTGGACTATGCTTCCCTCCTTGTTTAACCAGCGCCTCCAGTTGTGGCTGGCTCTTATCCTTTCCCCAGGGATAGGTCATTCCTCTGGTACAGCTTCAGTTTAATGCAAAAGTCTGTGATGCAACTTCCTAAACTGGCTTTAAATTCTTTGGCTAATCATGGGTGCCTGAGACTCCCACCAAATGACACAAAGCTTTGCCCAAGCTACTGCTGCTGCTAATGGTGTTGCCTGCTCCAACCCATCAAGATTTGACTGTCTCTCTCTTCTTTCTAGACCTGTGGCTTACCCTCCCTGGACTCGGATTCAGGATCTTCTCTGGTAACTTGTCCCTCCTGTTTACATGCACTATGTGCCTGTCCTCTCAGGTCCCTGAGTAAGAAACTAGCTAGAGAGAGAAATTGCTTCTGAAGTGCAGTCACTTTTGGAGTGGAGCACAGCAGCCCTTCAACAGTGGCTAGGAAAGTTGCACAGAGGGTCAGCAAAGTTAGCATTAAGCAAAGGCAATGCATGCAGCTACTTGGGAGGCCTGTTGCAAGTGCAGGCATTGGGATTTATTGGTAGCTTTCTTTTGGGAGCGTGCCCAGAAGGAAATGCCTGCCTATAGTCAGCGCTTCGTTGCTCCTTTCTTTCTCCCTCCTTGCCTCCCTTCCTCCTATACATCATGTTTGGCAGTGGGATGGGAAGACAAACAAGGCTGAAAACCCTAAAAACTAGCAAGGCCAACGCTGGATGTGGAGACCTTGTATTCCATCAGCATCCTGAGGACAGGAAAGGAAATGTAGTTGCCCACTCTGGGCACTGGCCTAATGTTCCAGATTGAGCATAAGTTGCCAGGGGTTCTTTAATGGGCACAAGCAGCCTTACATCTCTAAGATCAGCACTGTGTGCCTTCCCCCTGTGGTTGGATGCTGGGCTCAGTGCTTGTTGTTAGCTTCTTCTGAATGGCTGCTCTCATGTGTCTGCTGATGTTCTAGCCCAGCACTAACCTGGCCTGGCTCTTTGTGGTTGACTTGTAAGAGCCACCAAAATCACAGCATGCGATGATGACGGCAGAGAAATAGGGCTACAGGTTTCTCTGCAGTTGAAGCCACTGCAAGCTAGAGGGGAGATCCCTCACCCAATGCTGTCTCATGTTTTGGGCTGCTGTCACTAGAGCTGTTCCACTGCCTTCAGTGTACCTTTGTCTTGTGCTCAGACCTCTGGACGCTCCTCCATCTTCCCTGGCGGGGGATCCTTTGCTAGCATGCTGGAAGATCAGTTCTCCAAAGACAGCCGCCAAGGCCAATGGCAACGGAGGCGGCGGCTAGATGGAGCGCTTAACAGGGTCCCAGTGGGCTTCTACCAAAAAGTCTGGAGGATCTTGCAGAAGGTGAGGCAGGTCACAGGCTGGTTGTTGTGCAGCCATCTCCTTCCTTTGGGTGAGTCTCCCACACATGATGCCCCTGTATCTTTGTTCTTGTGCAGTGCCCAGAAGATGTAACACCTTCCCTACAAACCTCACTGCTCTTGTAGCCCACTGGATGCTGCTGCACAGTAGCCTTGATGAGCCTATTCTGAGGTCCCAGCTATTCAGGCCTAGTGTTGTGGGGCCTGCTCTGGTCGTCTTTGTGTCAAAAACCTAGCTTTGGGCCATGTAAAGTTGGGAACTTTAGATTTATGCAGGAGCTTCCCCTGCAAGCTGGATTTTCAGCTGCAGGTAGGAAAAGGCACGTTTCACCCTTCCACTAAGATACAGACAGTGTGAGGTCCCAACATTGCTAGACCAGGGGTAGGCAACCTTTTCCAGCTCCAGGGCAGAATGACCTGTTCAGAGGTGAATGGGTGGGGACTAGGACCTGGCTGCTGCCACTGCTTGTCTCCTGCCGCTAAATGCTGCTAAAGCCCTAGGTCCACAGGCCAAATCCAGTAGTTCTACAGGCTGGCTCCAACCTACAGGCTGTAGATTGATAACTCTTGAGCTAGGGCAGCCTGCACTTGTCTATGTGCTTCAGTGAGTAGTAACTCTAGAGCTGGGTGACAGGACTGATAAAGGACTTGAAAGACATGTCATGCTTGGAGAGGCTGAAGGAGCTAGGCATGTTCAGCTTGTAGAAAAGGCGCTTAAGAGGGGACATGATAGCAGTCTTCAAATTCTTGAAAGGCTGCCATATAGAAGAGGAAAAGCACTGTTTCTCTGTTGCTGCAGAGAGTAGAAGGTAGACCAATGGCTGGAAGTTGTCAAAAAGTAAGTTTAGATTGGATATCAGGAAAAATTCCTTCATGGTTAGGACAGCGAGGCAGTGGAATAGACTGCCTAGGGAAGCTGTGGACCATCCATCACTGGAAGTATTCAGGGTGGGGTTGCACAGGCACTAGTGAGGGATGATCTATGCATGGGTATGCTTATGATCTACTGTATGCATTTCCCACATTTCTGGGCTCTGCTGGTTGATGCATGGGGCTGAGGGAGTCCCTTCCCCGTACATATCAGGGTTTGTTGTTTTTTGGGGGTTTTTTGAGTCTCCCTCAGAGGCTACAGGAAAAGCTGGCGATTTTTGACTGGGGTGTGGCAGTGCTCCTGCTGGGACTTAAAGCCAGAGATTCCTGGCTAGAGGGTCTTGTCCCTCTGCTCAGGGTCAGGCTGATTGCCATATTTGGGCTCAAGAAGGGATATTATCCTATGATGCAAACTTTGAGGGGTTTTACCTTCCCCTACAGCAGGGGGTATGGCTCTCTTGGGATCTCTTGATCGTATACTAACAACATTTACAACAGCAGGACATTGGCCGCCATAGTCCCCTTGCTTTACCTTTGGCTTGTGTTGTGTTGTGTCAAGGTTGACTGTAGTTTTGCTAAGAGGTTAGATGATGGATTTGTATAGGATGGTTTGGATAGGGATGATCCTGCTTCAGGGAGGGGGTTGGACTGGATGATCTCTGGAGGTCCCTTCCGGTCCTACTCCTCTAAGATTCTATGGAGAGTTGCAAGGGTAAAGAATTTCTGGAGCACACGTGCACCTTGGGTATACTCCACCTGCATGCTTTCCTGTTCCAGATGCCTCTTGTCTGAGGGCATCTCCTCCTGCATGATGCTGATGCAACAGGAGGGGGGAGCTAGTAGTAAGTCTCAACTCTGCTGGGGAATTTCCCTTAATACATCAGGCCAAAGGAGCCGTGTTGATATCAGTTTGACTTGTCACTATGGTCAGAAGGATGGGTGGGAGAGGCATCTTATAAAGGGATGTTATGCTGATAGTTGGAACCAAACTTGGGGATTGTCTCAATGGGTGACAGAACCAAAGCAGATATAAAGGATGCAATTCACCCCCCATCCCCATTATATAGGGTCAGAGCTTTGTTCAGACACTCTCACTTCACTAAAAGAGTTATCTTTTGAGAGAGATCTGAGGTGGATTCCTTACTAATTTAACTGACTTGATAAGAAAGTGCTTGTATCCATATGAACAACCACATAGACTTCAACCAAAATAACAAGGCGTGGGAGTTGCTTCATACCATGCAGAACAGCTCCTTGCTTTAGAAGGCAACACATCAGCAGAGAACAGATATTAAAGGCAACATCATCTGTAGTCATTGACTTACTGGATGTCAAATGGTTCCACAAAGCCCTTTTCTGTGGCCTTGTTGGGAACTGGAATATTTTAGAGATTCAGCAGAGACTGAATAATGTCCCCTTTCAAATCTCCCTTTCTGAGCTGTTGCCCCTAACTTTCTGTCTTACTCTGCAGTGCCATGGCCTCTCTGTGGAGGGCTTTGTTCTTCCTTCCTCAACTACCAGAGAGGTAAGAGCTTTAGGTGGGTGTATGTTTGGGGACATTGGGTGGGTGGGGGGGGAGGAGAGGGATCATCAGTCCAATTAGAGCAGAATCATGTAAAGTATGTACAAGAGAGGGAGGGAAAGCATGTCACAGGTGCACTAGGGTTGCAAAGCCAAGGTCTCCAGCTCTCCCACTTAGGATGTAGAAGACTTATTGCCACCAATGCTGCAAAATATTTAATAGATCTGCTTCTTGTCTCTGTACCCTGGTTTGCAAATGGCAAAAGCTGTCTTTGTTCCCCCTATCACTGCCTGAAAACAGCCCACCTCTAGCAGAGGCAGAAAACAAGCATAAAACCATCTGTGTGGCAACGAGTTTTCCCAAGTTTACAAAGCAGTTGGAAATGGAAGATTAGAATAAAGAGTGTGAGGCTGCCTTTCTATGGGACTTGCCAGCATTCTGCCTGGCACAGTGCTCTCAGCCAGTTTTTTGCCAAGAAGCTTGCATGATTCAACTCTTATTCTCTCTCCACCTCCCAGCCCTGTGTGCTCTATCCATCTCCTTCCTTCTGCTTCTCCCAAGTCAACATCTGGGGCACCAAATTTTGAGTGCCACAAGTTCAAGAGCTCCATCCTAAGTCAAAACCTGGATCCTGCTCTCATATTGGTGTTTCCCCTCAGCACTGGAGCTTCCCTGACCCAGCTCTTTTCTCAGGGAGGCTTTCTTATGAGTTAGGATTCCTGAGTTCTGTCCCTGCCACTAGAATCACTCATGTCACTTCTCTCTTGCTTCCAGTCACCCATCTGTAAAATGGGACTAATGTCGCTTACTCATCTCTTGTCAGCTATTTTGATCGCTACCGTGAAAGATACTGTGCAGTGCTAGCTTGAATGGGGCTGGGTTCCCTGGAGGGTGCGAGTGTTGTGGGGCTCATGTGACTATGTTGCATACATTCTGTATGTGTCTGTGTCTCTATATAATTCTCTTTTACTTCTCACAGATGACTCCTGGGGAAATAAAGTTTGCAGTCCATGTTGAGTCTGTCCTAAACCGTGTCCCACAACCAGAGTATAGGCAGCTCCTCGTAGAAGCTATCCTAGTCCTTACCATGTTGGCAGATGTAGAAATAAACAGCATTGGTGGCATCATTGCAGTGGAAAAGATTGTGCACCTAGCAAATGACTTATTCTATGAAGAACAGGTAGGATGCTGCCATTTGCTAGAATGAGTGAACTTGGTCTCAAACTTGGAAGGAACACAGGTCTGGGTTTGCAAGCATGTGTCAAACACTTAGCCCATGTGCTCATATTAAATGGAACTTGGGCCAGCATTGCATTCAGTAGGCTTCTACTAGGTGTTCAGTAAAGATTCAAGTCTTGCTTGCTGAGTAATTGGAAGTGTCACTTAACTGGGTGACCTCCTGATCCATTTCACCAGCATTAAAAAGCTGTGGGCAGATGATTGCAAATGGTTGAAATTATTGTACACCTGAGGAACTTCTTCCAAGCCAGTGTAGAATGAACCCTGAGAGAGTTGAGAGTAAAGCTGCCTCGGTATAAGTGACACTGGTGTAGATGATATGTTTATGTTCATTCAGAGATAGCATTTTGTGAACACAACCTGGTGAATATCTATTCCTCTGCTACCTCACAGCAGTGTGCGATCATGGGCACCAAGCACATGCAGGTACCCTAGGAGAACTAGCAATACATCTTTCCACTCTGGATCCCAGTGGAAGCTACACTGGTATACAAAATTAGTATGCATTATACTGGGATCTGTGAAGGAAGGTAGTGGGGCAAGAAAGGAAGGGAAGGGATTAGGTAGTAGAAGTAGTGGTACTGGGGCTTTAAGTGCTTGATGCCGGCCTGGAGCAGGGATTATCTGTGGGTTGCTGGGGGGTTGAAAAGACGGGATGCCAAAGTATGCATCTTGACCTGCTGCTTACAAACAGGGTAGAATTGGTGATGAATGTAGAGGTGGATGCCAACCTGGGCAGCAGTGATCATAAAGTGATTTAGTTCAGGATCCTGAGGAAAGGAAGGAAGGAGAGCAGCAAAGTAAGGACCCTGGACTTCAGAAAAGCAGACTTCAACTTACTCAGGGAACTGATGGGCAGGATCTTCTGGGAGGCTAGTCTGAGGAGAAAAGGAGTCCAGGAGAACTGATTGTATTGTAAACAAACCTTACTAAGGATGCAGGAATGAATCATCCCATCCTGATGCACAGGAAGACTAGCAGGTATGGCAGAAGACCAGCTTGGTTTAGCAGGGAACTCTTCAATGAATGAAAACACAAAAAAGAAGCTCGCAAGAAGTGAAAAATTGGACAGATGACTAGGGAAGAGTATGCAAGGATGAAATCTGGAAGTCCCAAAGCACAACTGGAGCTTCAGATAGCAAGGGACATGAAGGGTTTCTACAAGTATGTTAGCAACAAGAGGAAGATCAGGGAAAGTGTGGGTCCCTTATTGAATGGGGGAGACAACCTAGTGATAGATGATGCAGAAAAGACTAAAGTACTTAATGCCTTTTTTTATCTCAGTCTGCAAAGGCAGGGTTAGCTCCCAGACTACTGTACCTGGCAGCACAATTTGGGAAGAAGGTGATCAGGCAACAGGGGCAAAAGAACAGGTTAGGAGCTATTTAGAAAAGCTGGACATGTACAAGTCCATGGGGCCAGATGCAATGCACCTGAGGCTGCTGAGGGAGTTGGCTGATGTGATTGTAGAGCCACTGGCCATTGTCTTTGAAAACTCCTGGTGATTAGGTGAGGTCCCGGATTATTGGAAAAGGACATATATAGTGCCCATCTTTAAGAAAGGGAAGAAGGAAGATCCAGGGAACTACAGACCTGCCAGCCTCATCTCAGTCCCTGGAAAAATCATGGAGCAGGTCCTCAGGGAATCCATTCCTAAGCACTTGGAGGAGTAGGTGATTAGGAACAGTCAGCCTGGATTCTCCAAGGGCAAGTCATGACCAATCTTAAATTGCCTTCTATGACAAGATGACTAGCTCTGTGGATGTGGGGAGAGCAGTGGATGTGATATACCTGGACTTTAGCAGGGCTTTTGGTACGGTCTCCCACAACATTCTTGCAGGTAAGCTAAGGAAGTATGAATTGGAATAATGGACTTGTAAGATGGATAGAAAACTGACTGGATAGTTGGACTCGGAGAGAAGTAATTAATGGCTTTATGTCTAGTTGGCAACCAGCATAAAGTGGAATACCCTAGAGGTCAGTCCTGGGGCTGGTTTTGTTTAATATCTATATCCACAATCTGGAAGATGGGATGGAGTGCACCCTCAGCAAGTTTGCAGATGACACAGAGCAGAGGGGGGATAGTAGACATGCTGGAGGGTAGGGCTAGGACTTGGAGACATTTGGGCAAATTGGACAATTGGACCAAAAGGAATCTTATGAGGTTTAATAAGGAGAAGTGCAAAGTTGTGCACTTAAGATGGAACAATTCCATGCACTGGTAAAGACTGGGGACTGACTGGCTAAGCAGTAGCTCTGCATAAAAGGATCTGGGGGTTGCAGTAGACAATAAGCTATATATGAGTCAACAGTGTGCCCTTCTTGTGAAGAAGGCTGATGGCATACTGGGCTGCATTAATAGGAGCATTGCTAGCAGATTAAATGAGGGGGAAGAATCAGTTTATTCAGCACTGGTGAGGCCACATCTGGAATATTGTGCCCAGTTTTGGCCCCCCACTGCAAAAAGAGTGTGAATTGGAGAGAGTGCAGGGGACAGTAATGAAAATGGTTAGGGGGCTGGGGCATATGACTTCTGAGGGAACTGGGCTAATTTAGCCTAGAGAAGAGAAGACTGGGGTGAGATTGAATAGTATCCTTCAACTAGTGAAGGGTGGTTCCAAAGAGGATAGAGTCTGATTGTTTTCAGTGGTGGCAGATGACAGAATAAGGAGCAATGGTCTCAAGTTTCAGCAAGGGAAATTTAAGTTAAAGGGTAGTGAAGCACTGGAGCAGGTTACCCAGCGAGGTTGTGGAATCACCTCAGTCCCTGGAAAAATCATGGAACAAGTCCTTGGAAGTTTTTAAGACCCAGCTAGATAAAGCTTTGGCTGGGTTGGTGTAGTTAGGGATGGTTCTGCTTTGTGTAGGGGGTTGGACTAGATGATCAGAAGTCTTTTCCAACCCTAATTTTCTATGATTTTATGCACTGCTGACTAACGCCTTCTCTCCCTTTCTCTCCTTTCTCTCTCCTCCACTCCCAAATGGAACAGAAAACCCTGGGTGCAGATGACAACATGTTGGAGAAGGATACCGCCACTGGTATCTGCACCTTGCTGTATGACAGTGCTCCTAGTGGCAGATTTGGCACCATGACCTACCTCTCCAAATCAGTTGCAATGTATGTGCAGGAGTTCCTCCCCAGCAGTGGCTGCACCATGCAGTAGACTCACCTGGTTTGGGCTTCAACTCTGAGTTTACAGTTGTTAGGGAAGAACAGCAAGGCCTTAGGCTGTCTTGTTGGCAGACATTTTTCACATTAGTTGCCTTGCTGGGATGGTGGCTTCAGAGCTTGGGACCTGCTTCCTCCTAGCTTTGTCCTTGAAAATGCCACAGCCACTGTAACTACTCTTGGATGGAAGAATTTTCCTTCCAGAGCAAAATGACATGGCAGGAGAAAGTGCATGTGTGTGTATATGTGTGTGTGAGAGAGAAACCACAGCTGCATTTCTGGACAGATGTCCTGACTCTTTATCCATCCAATCCCAGGGCCTGGCTTGCCTGGCTGAGGGCTGTGCTGTGACAGGCCCAGGATTGAGTCCCAGCTTACATCTGAGGCATCTGTCTACACAGCATGTTACTGCTGCATAACTTTACCAGTTATAAAATGTACACTGGTAGGTTTTAGGCATGGCTGAGGTGGGTAATAGCAGGGTTCACAAAGGATTTTATTTATGTCCCCTCCTAGAGGCTCTCTCTGTGTTGATGCATCCCCGTGCTGTGAAGGATACAGAGTGTATATGGCCACCTGCCTTTTTCTTTCCATTGGACTTGGCTGTTTAGATGCTTTCGCTCTTTAGCACCAAGCCTGTGTGGCTTTGGTTTTGTTTTTAATTAAGATTTTATGAACTGACCCACATCCTCCCACTGCAGCTTTTGTTAGAGGTCTGGGTCCCATTACTCCAGACCCCTTCCTGACCCTCCTAGCAATGACTCACTGACATAGCCAGGACATAATCCTTGCACTTGGGATCAGTTAGACTTGCTGCCTGTTGTGGGCACCTGCTGCTCTCCTGCCATGCAGATCTGGTGAGGCCTATGAGAAACTGTGCAGAACTGCTTTAGGGGGTGAGTGGATTGGGGTCCTCAACCAAGCTTCCCATATCTGTTTAGAGCTCTAGGGGACAGGGCTTACACAAAAGGTTCTTGACTGACTGGAGAGAGATTCTTAGCCCCTTCCCAAACCATATTTAGCCTTGTTTTGATGCGCTGAGTTCCTGTATATCTATCTATGGAGACCCAGGAACAAATTAAAGTAGCCCTAAATTACCTGCTTTGTAACAGCTGGGCTTGTTGGGAAGCCACCTGCCTGCGATGTGTTTTACAGTGGGAGTGCTGGGTCCTGCTTGCTTTGTGCTTTTGACACCAGTCCATGCATTTCACCTTTAGATCAGAAAAGCCACAGTCCCTCTACTGTTGATTCACGCAACACTTTAATTTCCAAGGACCTGTGTTATCCAGTGAGGAGCTAAGCCTAAATGATAGTGGTGCTTGTGTTAGGTAGTCCATGCATGCACTAAGCACTCCATACAGATTTCTATGGCTGGGTTGCCTTGGAACCCTCTTTCCCCAGGACAACTTTGGTGACCAATAGAGTGAAATGGTGTGGATGTATGATGCTTTGGCTTCTTCAGTCTCAAGTGAAGAAAGAGTCTTCACTGGAGCTTTCTGGCTCCATTAGTTTCAGACTTCCTAAGAAGCTCAGATTCAAACACTGCAGAAAAATTTGCCAGTTGCTCATAAAATTTGTTTCATTTTAATATGTTCACTCCCCTAGGACTCAGTGTCCTTTCATCCATCTAACCCTTCAGCTTTTCAGACACAATCCAGCCTCCCCTGTCTATGCTTTCTGTAACACAGAACTGTCTAACACAATATCTGGTGTTCTTGTGCATGCTGTACATGTCACCAATAACCCAAGACAGGTGTGAAACCATGGAAGGG